AAAAAAAAAAAAACCAGTATATCTCTTGAGTGCATATAGTTGAAATTTTAATACTTTAGTGACCAAGAGGTATACAATAGTAGACATAGATTGAATATGACAATTTAAATTTCTTTTTTTAAAGTTGGTGTATTACATACATATGGTAAAATGCATAATGTAAGCTTAGTGAATTTTAATTTTTTTTTTAGAAGTTGCATATAAGTATTGACAAGGAATAAAAGACTTCTATCTAATGGAGCAATTCTTTAGAGAGTATAGTTGTTCATATTTAATATAATGGGGAAAAAATTTTGTATTTATATTACAGGAAACCAGAAAATGATATAGACATTTTTTTTAGTATTTGTAAGTTGACAATGTCATTACTGTACTTTAAAAGTATTTATTTGTAAATCACTTCTTTATATATCTAAAACTTAAGTTTAAGATTCCATGAATGAGATATACAGATGCTCCTCGACTTACAATGGGGTTACGTCCTGATAAACCCATACTGTAAGCTGAAAATGCAGTTAATATACCTAACCTATTGAACATTATAGCTTAGCCTAGCCTGTCTTAAACATGCTGAGGCCTACAACTGAGCAAAATCATCTAAAACAAAGCCTATTTTATAATAATAAAAGTAATAAAAATAAAAGATCAAAATTCAAAGTATGATTTCTACTGAATGCATATTGCTTTTGCATCATTGTAAAGTTGAAAAATTATAAATCCATCCGTCATGTGTCAGGGATTGGGTAGTGAAATAAATTACATTTGCTCCACGTTTGCAGTCATTTTTATAATGGCATGCAGAGTTGTTTCAACGGTTCAGAAACACCCAACAATAAATGGATATCAAAAATTTTGAGAGGAGAAAGCTCTTTACTCTCTTGAAGATGACATTTTAATTTCACTCTATAGGTTTATGTTATCCTTAGGTAAAACAGTTTTTCTTTATAATTGTGTGACATCCTAGGGCACAGCGTGGTGGGAAGAATCGTAATTCCTTTTATAACCAGACATTAACCTGTTTTCCTTGTTTTAGGAGATAATAAGCTATTAATATTAAATACCTGATTTAAGATCTGTATATATTTTTGATACTGTTTATTTTGTCATTCCACAGGCAGTAGGTTATAGTTGTATGCCCAATAATAAAGATGAAGATGGGCTAGTGGTTTTAGTTTTCAACAAAAAAGAAATAGATATTCGAAGCCAGCAACAGCAGTTGGTAGAATCATTGCATAAAGTTTTGGGAGGAAACCAGACCCTTACTGTAAATGTGGAGGGTATTAAAACATTGCCAGATGATCAGTAAGTATACATTAAATATACTGTTTATTTCTGTGTGCTGTGGTCCAAAGAGAGTGATCAATAGCATTTTTGTTGCTGAAGCACAAATTAAATCTCAGAGCAGGGGCCGGCCCCGTTGCTCACTCGGGTGAGTGCGGTGCTCAGATCCTATATAGGGATGGCTGGTGCGC